ATCTTTTACAACAGAAGCACAGAAGGACTTTGATGTCTGTAGCAAAAGAATCAGGAATTATGAGGCAGGAGTACGCAGGCATCGGGAACACTTGGTATAATATCAATCAGCCCACAATACACAAAGCTGTTCTAAAGGTACTAAATACATAAGCACCTGACAACTCTCTCACATTCCTATATTCCTAAGCTGTGCCTACAGGGAAAGCAGAGCCAGAGATCCGTCCCACTGCACAAAGGCTGACTTGTCTGTGTAGCCCTGATCAAATCCCAGTCCTGTTTCAACCAGCTCTGTGGAGACAGCTCTCTTGGGACCAGCTGACATCCAAGAGCAAGCAACTACAGTAACAGCTTTGTACCAAACCTAATGTCAAGAAGACCCAAGAGATCCATGAAAGCACTCTCCTGCATGTTTGGGCCGATCCCAAGGCTAATCCAGACAGTCCCAGACACTTACTGGGTTCTGTCATTCCTGACAAGCCACTTACTGTCAACGCTGCCAAAGCCTTCAAACCATCCAGCCACAAACACTGCAGCCAGTCACACTCTGCTCAGCGCTGCCTTCGCCAGCACTCACACTCCTCCTCATCCAGAGTTACTGGCTTTGTTTGCTGCTTTAAGATGTCACTCATTACTGCAGTAACCATGAGGCACAGAGAGGGGAGAAAAAGTTCTACGTGCAACAATGATTGAATGCAAAGTATCTTCTGTCTTGCTTGACGGGCATCACACCTCAAAGACAACCAAACAGGGAATGATTTGTGCAACAGAAGCAAATAACAGAGCACAGAGAACAATGAACAAGCACCAAAAACCAGTACAACTGCATCTTAAATAATCCATGAGCATTAAGTGGCAACTGGTAAAATAGAAAGTGATGGTCAACGTGAAATAAGGCACACAGGAAAAACACAGCCCTAACAATACCTACACAATCACAGGCGTCACACAGCCTGTAGCACACAAGCAGTAAAATCACTGGGAATATTCCTACTGAAACATCCATTTAGTATATGGTGGAAAAAAGACAACATTGACTACTGTACATGGAAGTAAGAACGAAAAGGATCATCACATCAGTGTTACACAAACCCATGCTGCTCCCACAACTTGTGTTCTGCAGCGAATTCCCAGATTTGTGTCTGAAAAGAGAGATGGTAGAGAGAGTAAAACAGCAAAGACAACATGGGTGATGAGAGATAATAAAACAATTCCCTATGAAAACAAATAACAGACTAGGATTTTTCAGCAAGGGAAGAGATACTAAAGAGAGAAATACAACAGAATAAAAACACACTCTACAAAGGAAGCGTGAATACTTATTCTGTTTACTTCTCCATAAACCAAGAGCTAAGGCATCAAATGAAAATCAGAAAAGCTTTAAAACCTCTACTGGCAATTTCAAACAAAGTAAGCAGTTTTCTTCTACACAAAGCATGTTAAATTACAGGATGTGCAGCATCAGAGGATGGCATGGAAACATTTCAAACAAAGTAAGCAGTTTTCTTCTACACTGAGCATGTTAAATTACAGGATGTGCACCAGAGGATGGCATGGAAACGGGAGGAACCAAGCAGTTAAAATAAGAGTACACAAGCTCACAGAAGACAGCTCCATCACGGGCTGTGAACCCACCTCTGCTCTCCTCCTCGCTGGGGTGAGGATGGCAAACTGAAGCCAAATGATTGTTCCATATTTTCCTAAACCTTGCTACTACAGACAGCATGGAGAACTAAATGCAATCCTGAGCAACGTGCCCAAGGCTTGAGTAAAGGGAAGACAGCCTATAATGTCTTTTGGAACTATGTTTTATCCCATATTTCTCATACATATCTATCTTTTCATGTATTAAGCATCATTTCATTAGCAGTAAGCTTTCTCTCAGGGTAATATTAGTTAGCATAAAAAGAGACTGCAACTGAAACAGCTTGCAACCATCCCATGACCCATACAGAGCTGGAAGGGGGATTAATTTCCTGTTCTATTCATGGCAGAAAATTATTTCTGTGGCTGATAAAGGTAGTTACATATTCATTCCCAACAAATCCCATGCCTCCCACATGCTGCTCTGCTATTTCCTTTCTGCAGCTGCCCTCTCTGCAGCTGCTCTCTGGAATTAAAAGCAAGATGTAGACGTGCAGAAGCCTTACCCCTGTTTGGAGAAGAGACAGGTCTAATGGAACGAGAACCGTGCACTCTTTCACCAAAACCCTTGTGGGAAGAGGTGGCCACAGGTTCTAACAGGGGCACTGAGAGCATCTCAGCTCAAAAAGGCTTGAGATCTTCTACTGGAGACACGAGTGAGTGTCACTTTACAGCCACTACTCGTGCGCGCTGTCAGCTCCGAATTACAAAGCTCAGCTATCGATATCACGCCCTGAAGTAAAACCTTGCTTTGTAAAATATCAGACAATGAAATATCCAAGTGGCTCACAAATTTTTCAAGTCTCAATCTGGCAACTAAAAACCCCATTCCTTCAAGGTGTTAAGCCAGCAGACAAAGCCAAACACCATAATCTGCTAGAGATGAGTCACATCGCCTGCCCCAGTGCTCTTCCTTCATGTCAAAGCTTCAATTGAGAACAGCAATTCATGACTAAGAGCTAAAATCTTCTCAAGATGATCAATGTCTTGAGAATGTATTCTATTGAATATTATTTATCTATTTAGATGTCAGTAGTCCAAATCGATCCTCCCAATAAATTTACTCATCTCAGAAGAGCACAGATCTTGTTTGGTCAAGATATTTGGCTTCCTGTTGTCCCAATAATTCCCATTTTAAGAGTCATTTATCTTTTAGTCTATTTTACATGTTGTCAGTCCTTCACAGTAAATGCTCATAAACACTGTTCATCAAGGAATTCACCAGAAAAGCATATTCCCTTACCTCTACAAATATCTGTACCACTCTACAAACTCTCCGTTGGCATATTTAGAAAGGATTGCTCTCCTTTTTTAAAATCCCATACAAGAGCTGAAACTAAAGCCTGTTCATTCAGGCTGCCAGAGAGCACAAGGTACCTTCCCTCTTGCTTACCTCCTTACTGAAATCCCAGCCAGCTGCAGCATTTACACACAGAACACCTTGCTTGGCTAAACAACAGATCAGTTAATCTTTTATCACGAAAAAAATATAAATATCTTTTTAAAATAAAAAAAGCACCATATGCCACTGTCTCAGTTCATGTCAAAGCCAGAGTGCTTTGCAGCGTGACAAGCAGCACCCACGAGCAGAACACACTCTCCAAAAGACTACAAGAGGCTGTCTGATAAGAATGATGTTTCTCCTTACCCCAGAATTAAGATTAATACAAGAACATACAGCAGAGCATTACTGAAACGTCAGTAACAGAACAAAAGCTGATGCTTAATCCAAGAATGCTGGAGGAACACAAAGGAAAAGCCTCATTCATGTTTAACATGCAACTCTGAAGAATGTGGCCCCCGCTGTGCAGCTGGCTGGGAGCATGGCTTTGGAGGGTACACGTTTCATAGATTTCATAGATTTTCTAGGCTGGAAAAGACCTTAGAGATCATCCAGTCCAACTGTCCCTAATCCCCCATTAAACCATATCCCTACGTAGTTCATCCACTCTTTTCTTAAACACATCCAGGGATGGGGACTCAACCACATCCCTGGGCAGCCTATTCCAGTGGCTGACAACCCTTTCAGAGAAGAAATACTTCCTAACATCCAACATGAACCATACTTGTTCATCCCAAACTCATTTTGTCAATAACTTGTTCCTTCAAGCCTCATCTGGAAGTTCATCCTTCGCCAGCACCAAAGTTCATCGACTTGTTAGGTGCAGGCTCACAAAAGCCTGCATACAATCTGTTCTTAGTGCCCAAAGAAGTTCATTATTCTATTTGGGAGCTTTTGCCCAAGAGCTCTTCTGGCCACCTCGTCTCGGAGAGAAATTCATAATTACATCGGTGCAGGCCAAGCAAAGTTTGTTACTGTAATCACAGCCAAACCCACCGTCTGTCAAGCCATTGCTTATGCCAACAAACCAAAGCTGTTAAAAAATGGCTTTTTACAGAAAACACCATCAACACAGGATACACCAAGAGTGAGCAAATAAGCTTTTGATTCAGGATTTTTTTTGCTTTTAAAGGCAGCTCGGCTCACAGCCATCTCCAAGTTCTTTTCCTACACTTCTTAAAAGGAAGAAGGAAAAAGTTACATACCATAGATGGCACTCAGCACTTTGGTCCCATTTCTGTAAGGCAATTTCCAGCTCTTCTTTGCCTGCAAATAAGTGGTCAGAGATAAGAAATTCAGCCACTGCCTCTCTTTACTTCCTTCTCTAAGGCTGGTTAAGAGTACAACAACAGAATGGCATAAAAAGTTATGCATTTGCTAGTTTTATAACACATTTAGCCTGAAAACGTTCTGCAAACAATTTCATCCTCTTGCAATGATACGGAACATCCAAGATCACTCAAGGAGATGAGGCAAATTTTAAGCAGAGTAGCAATGGGGTTTCACTCCTTTGGAAGTACAGTCATCGATCATGAAAACATCTTCCCCACCATGCTAAGAAAAGGTTTTGCTCTGATTAATCATCCAGGTTGGATGAGGCTTTGGGCAACCTGGTGTAGTGGAGGGCGTCCCTGCCCATGGCAGGGGGGTTGGAACCAGATGATCTTTGAGGTCCCTTCCAACCCAAACCGTTCTGAGATTTTATGATTCTAATTTCAAAGTCTCAGATCTAGGATCCGTCCCACTTCCTCCCCTCTCCTCCGAGAACCTGCAGGCTCAAAAAGCTGAAGGTGTGGGGGAAGAAATGGGGTTTTTAACTCTGAAGTGTAACGTCAGCTTTGAGCACCCCACTTCCCTTGCCTCGAACACACAACTCCTCACCCTCAGCTGCGTACGACCTCTTCTCGTCTGGGTCTTCTGTGATTTCACACATATCACTGTGGGCTCGGGCCAGGCGCCAAAGAAAGTCCTTCTGGTCTGCATACTGCAGGGAAAACACACACGTTCCATCAAGAGCCATTCTGCCATCGACAAAGAGCACAAGAAAGAAAAATCAAGTGGGGGCACACCCCACAAGTTGCACAGACGTTTTTTGAGACCTTAAAAGGTCCCAACTCTGCACGAAAAAAAGAGCAAACTGGATGGCCCAATCTGTAATTAAGCTTACAGCTCTAATTGTTGCCAGCTTCTAACAAGGAACCCCTCTGCTTCAAAGGCCATACTGGGGTCAGTTCCTCAGCTGTCTCTGCTAACCTCAAAACACTGGGGGGAAAAAAAAAAATCACTTCATTAAAGTTCAGTAATTGAATTTCACTTTTTTCATGCTTCAGTCTGCATTCAAACAGCTTCACATCCTGGCTTGTTCTTAAATCCGGGACAGGACCGCAGGTGTACTGCTGAATGTGAAGCTGGTAGGTTTTGAAAAACCCCAAACTTACTTTACAAAAAAAAGGCAAAAACTTAAAACACAACCATGTAACAGTCCGGTTGCTTTCGCGATAGTATTGTAAATGAAAGAATGCGGGAGAATCCCCAGAAAGAAGCATACAAGAGAATTTCAGAGCCAACAGGCCTGCCATTTCTTCCTGGTGGGAAGGAAAAAAACAATCTCCTTGAACTTAGAACTGCCTGAGTTATCCGTTATTTCCTTCATTCTATTCCCCCAGCAGCACCAGCGTTCACCGAGTCAGGGCATCGATTTGCATCACCTCCATGATATATACAGACCTGTTCTTTAAGGTGGCCAAACAGCTGCACCATCCAGGTTAGCATCTCACTAAGGAATACACACAGAAGTGCTGCCCAACCCTTCTGCCTGAATACACAACTTGATTTCATGAACCACCACGCAGGTGAACTGGGCAGTCCTCAGACAGACCGAGGTCCCCAAACACAGATCGAGTCGTTGCACACCCAACGAGCTAAACGTGCTCACTGCACACGTGCAGCACTTATTTTACACATGCACAGTGCCTTCACTCAGGGAAAGCGATGACATGAGGAGACACCGAGTTCCGAGGCAGAGAGGGACTGGGAAACTGCTACTGCTGCAGCCCCACCAGTTTTGGCCTCCAGCCCGCTCCCAGGCTGCTCCTGAGAACGGGGGACACTGGAAGCTGGCCCAGCTGTGGTGTAGGACCCGGACCCTGCTAAGATTTGCAATTTCCTCTCTCCCAGCTATTTAGCTGAAGACACAAATCACTGCTGGAAAACACGAGAAGGCAGCCTTTACCACCAGTTTGTTATTCAGCAGCAGCTGGAATCCCTCTCTCTTCTCCTGCTCGTCTCCGTCGTGCAAGCGGTCAGCCTGCTGCAGGAGCTGGCCCAGCCCCTCCTCCAGCGAGGAATCCAAGGTTAAATGTGTTTCATCCTCGTTGACGAGATCCAGGGAATCCCGCCGTGCAGTTCTCACTGTCTCACAGCTCACTTCATCCTCCCCTTCCTCGCTCTCTCTCTCCGACTCCCGGTCGTAATCGGACTCGGCGTTGGCTGTGGTGTACCTGCCAGAAAAGAAAAAAATGCAAAATTAGTTTGAGGGGACAGCATGAAGCCTGTGACAGTCTTATACATACTGTACAGAAAAAAACCCAACTCTTCCTGACAGAGGAAGGGGAGTATCTTAGTTTATCCTGGAGAACACGGTACCATCCAAGTGCCTCAATGAACTCTCCTGTCACTATTTCTGACGTGATACACACAACCTCAAAAAGCTGGAGGAAGGAGCTTCCCCAAAAGTTGAGTAGAACTCAGTCACAAAGTGCCTACATCTCACCTGCACACCATAACCACTTCTCTTAGCTGTTTAATTCTCTTAAGAAGGCCCAAGAGTAGAGCCAGGACAATTCAGTTAAATGCAGGGATTATAAAAGACAGTCTCAACAAAAGATCTGACACACTCATCCATGTGAAAAATGCAACTTGAAGTTTTTAGCCTGTTCCAGGAAATTTCAGACACAATAGCTGTTTTGGCAACATCCTAAGTACCTCCATCATCTTGTCTGAGCACTAAACACCAAACAGCTTGTTCACACCGGCACGTGAAAAGGTGCAAAACAGCAGGAGAGCGACCAAAACCATTTCACATGAGCAAACAGTCCAGCAAGGAGATGGCAGACGAGCCACAGAAAGACACCACGTGTACAAAAATCCAGGCAATGATTAGGTGGTAAATCAGTTAAATGAACCAGGATGAAGCTCAGATCAAAGTTTCTGAAAACAACTAAAATTAAGCTCCCCCAAATCATATACAGGCACCTGAGCTGGAAGGTTAAAGCAGCATTATATCCTGACCTACTGCAGCAGGGTGTCTACTTACAGAACTAAATTCTTTTTAGATCAAACTCTGTCCCCATCACATTGATCTCCCAGCTCTCAGCTGAAGAACAAGCACATGCAGTCAGTAATTTAAGAGTGTGGACTCAGAGTCAGACTTTGCTGGTTTATCTGAACAGAAAGCCTTCTTCCTGAAGCAAGCTACTTTGAATCCCACAAAGGCTTAATTCCAGGGGATGTTTGTCATTGTTACACGACTAAACTGTGCCCAAACCACATGTTGAACTTGACAAGTCCTGCCCAGGGTTAAAAGTCACTGCGATCCGGGGGCACTCAGCTGCACTCCCTTTTGTCCCGGCTGAATTCCTGCTCCCAGGGAGAGCTGGTGCTCCGTGTGAAGCTGCCTTTGTCTGCAGACAGATACGTGACCAGAGTCCGTATCTGGAGGAAGCAGCCACAGTTCTTTGGCCACACAGATAACAGGGCACATTCGGCTATCGCAGCGTCAGCTCTCCCAGAGCCATCAGTTACAGCCCAGCACCCTCACCACAGCCTCCCACCCTCAGCCATAACTTTAAAATGCACCACTTGGTACTGAAATGTTTTCAGACGAGAGAAGGTGGCAGTCAGCCTCACCACTGCCAAGCCAGGAGAGCAAGCGGTGCAAGACAATGTGCTGGAGAAGACATTGGCAGCACTAAATTCATGGATAACGTAGCAACACGGTGGTAGGTGACGCTGGCACAGCTCTGTTTCAGATCGAGTTCAAAGCTTCACTTCTTGATATTTTCTTAAGATTAATTAGCTCTCTAGACTGCCTCATTTTCAATACTTACAAACTCCCCAAATTCTCTTATCTCCCATCCTACTCTAACGCAGCACCCTGCAGCTGTGACACTGCCTCACTACACTTTACTGGCTGGTGCAACAATTTCAGCACTTGATCCAAAAAAACACATTCCTCATGGAAGACTCCTGAAACACAATATGGTCTTTAAAACCAAGCAGCAATGGATGGCTCCTACACAGCTTTTTTTTCCTCCACCACAAAAACGTCTTTTCTCCAAGACAGCTCATGCAAGACGCTGCCAGTTTGAAAAGGCAAGTGTAACACCAAGTATAACTTAATAAACTCAAAGAGTTTTCAGAAAGATGAAGGGATTTAGATGCTATCAGCCTGTTTTCTCGAGTTCATGATGATGGAAAGTTCTTAAATGCTTTGGTATGTTGAGGCCTCTGGCTAGCACACATCCTGAAGGAAAAATGAAAACTTGTTATCTGGAACAAGAAAGCACATGGAAAGATGAGGCAAAGAAGCCCAAAAGACCAACGCAGTGCCAAAGAAACATAGAGAAAATAAGCAGCCCAAGACCTCTGGGCTCCTGAAAACTCGTGATGATTTTTGTGGATTGTATATGAAATCAGAGATGCTGCTTATGTCCATGTGGTTTACAAAATAAAGCTGAAATACAAGTTCTTCTTTCTGAATTCTATTAAAAGAATGCAGTTGCCAGAAATGAATACACAGCTGAAATTTATCTGTGGAGAATAGTCTCATTCTTCCTCCCAGTGGCTGCTGAAAAGCTTGAAGTCTTTTCCAAAATTTACATTTCCTACCCTGATTTTCTACTAGGAAATTTTAGTGTTTCATTGCTAAAAGACAAGGTTGCATGCTAAAGACAGCTGCTCCTGAACAGACTAACACTATACCTGCTTGCACACGACAAATACCAGAGTGAGAAATGATATACTGTTCAATTTATTATTTTTTTTTAAATCAGATGAGAGCTGCTTATCCACTGACTCTCCACACCGGGCATTAAGCCTAATTAGAGATTTTTAAATGAAACGTAAGAACTCCCCCAACCATCGTTAGGTTCCCAAAGTATGAGGCTTTGCAGTAAAACCCATCCCTGCTCCACAGCTCACTTGAGGTCCCCTAACGAGGACGACATCTCCGCACCTCCAAATCGTTGTCGGCCTCTATCACGACAGGGAATTTTCCCACGAGCAGATGACACCTGGGGCTGGTATCTGTTGAGCAGCACTGCCCTTTTCAGCACGCTTCACAGAATGCACTGGCACCCTGTTTGCACCAGCTGACTGCTCAGCTGCGACCAGTGTGCCATGGCCAGCTTCTGCCTGCCCTGCTCTCGGTGCCACAATCAGCTTCTCCTTAAACACGCTGCACTTCAGCTGCCCTGGGAAAAGTACAGTGCTGCACCTTCTACAACACACCTACACACCTCAAAAGCTACAGAATTTGTCAGATTTAGGCACAGAAGAGAAGGGTTTCATCGGAAAGGCGGCAGCCACACGCAGCAGACCTCATTTTCTGTCTAATATCACGATACTCACATCCATATTGTCATTTTCACCATCGTTCTTAAACTACACTGTAGTTTTCGCCTCTTTTTAAGCTACAAGAATTCAAGCAACAAAACTGATCAGCCTGACACCCTGAGAAAAATCCGCAAGAAATACCCTAGTCAAAGACATTTTAGTTAACTGGAATATATTTGCAACTTTCTCAAGTTTCCCAGACATTCTAAGACATATTGTAAGGAAATTTTATGTGTAAACTATCTTACTCAAGTCTCAGGCTGGACTTCTACTTCCTTTCTTCCTGCAAGGTTGCCTAAGCAAATTATTGCTTAAAAAAACAACTCAAAAGCTTTTTTTCCCCCCCCCTCCTTTCTCTAAAAGTCAGAATCACTGCACTTTTCTCAGACTGGCCCTGGCAGCAGTAGACTTACTATAATGAAAGCAAGTGAAAACGGGATCACCAACACCTAGTAGAGGAAAAAATAAATCCTTCCCTTCTGTTATAAACCACTTGGATGCACGTAACTGGGCAGCAAAGCCCATAAAAGCTTTTCTAACCGGGTGCTCTGCTTACCCTCCTTCACTTTCTCCATCATCCGTGTTGGCTGCTCCGGAGCCGGCTGTAAAATAAATTGAACTGGAGCCTGTGGAATCACTTCTTTCTCTGGGAAACGGGAACCGCCTCCGGCGAGTTACTTTCTGGGTTTCTTCCAGATGGCACCTTTGAGGAGAGCAAAAAGAGAAACAAGCAAATATTTGATAGTGAAACGTCTACTATTTCACTTCCCTTCTCCTCTCTAGCACTTCCATTCCCACAGAACTCCCAGGTGACTGGCTCTTGCTTATGCAAACATCCCACTGCCTCATGATAAACATTGTATTCTGCAGCTAAAGCAGCCTGACCAGACTTGCTCCGTACACAATCCATACGTGCAACCCACACAGAAAGGGGTGTCACATCCACATGCACTCCTCATTCCCTCAACGAGCAAAGGAATCCTGAAGCATCCCGCAGAATATGGACCTTTTATTCTGTATCAAGAGTTTTCTACAGCTGGCAGCAATCAGAGAGAAACCAGCAGCTACGAGAAACATCCACAGAACCACCAACCTTCCCAGTCTAGAACACGAGCACGTGTCAGCACTTGGTATTCCAGAAAACAAATCCTGGCTAAACATCCAGTTTCTTCTATGTTAACCTCACCGGAGGTCAAGACGTAATGCCGAGGGAAATAAAGACATTTTTCCCCACTTTGGGCTGTCAAATTCAACATCCCTGACCACAGCTGGTTTACCATGTGGCGGAGGAAATGTGCCCAGCAGCAGGAAAAGAGAGAGAGGGGCAGGGTGGGTACCTGACTTCACCAACGATTTCTGCAGCTAAGTGCTGCAGGCTGTTCCGCAGCTCCTCCACTTCTTTCCTCA